GGTGGGAGGAGGGGATAGGTGGGAGGAAGAACAGGTTAGGGAGGCAGGGACGAGTTGGACTGGTTTTGGGATGCGGTGGGGGGAGGGGAGATTTTGAAACTTGTGAAATCCACATTGATACCATTGGGCTGCAGGGTTCCCAAGCGGAATATGAGTTGCTGTTCCTGCAACCTTCGGGTGGCATCGTTGTGGCACTGCAGGAGGCCCAGGATGGACATGTCATCTGAGGAATGGGAGGGGGAGTTGAAATGGTTCGCGACTGGGAGGTGCAGTTGTTTGTTGCGAACCGAGCGTAGGTGTTCTGCAAAGCGGTCCCCGAGTCTCCGCTTGGTTTCCCCGATGTAGAGGAAGCCACACCGGGTACAGCGGAGGCAGTATGCCACATTGGCAGATGTGCAGGTGAACATCTGCTTGATGTGGAAAGTCTTCTTGGGGCCTGGGATGGGGGTGAGGGAGGAGGTATGGGGGCAGGTGTAGCACTTCCTGCGGTTGCAGGGAAAAGTGCCGGGTGTGGTGGAGCTGGAGGGGAGTGTGGAGCGGACGAGGGAGTCACGGAGAGAGTTGTCCCTCCGGAAAGCAGATAAAGGTGGGGAGGGAAAGATGTCTTTGGTGGTGGGGTCAGATTGCAGATGGCGGAAGTGTCGGAGGATGATGCGTTGGATCCGGAGGTTGGTGGGGTGGTACGTGAGGACGAGGGGGATTCTTTTTTGGTTTTTATTGCGTGGACGGGGTGTGAGGGATGAGGTGCGGGAGATGTCTGGAGACATGGGTTCGAATCCTGCCACTGCAGATGGTGGAATTTGAATCCAAAAAAGAATCTGGACGTAAGAGTTTAATGTTGACCATGATACTATTGGGGTGGCACAGTGGTTAGCACTGCCACCTCACAGCACCAGAGACCCAGGTTTGATTCCACCCTCGGGCAACTGTCTGTGTGGAGTTTGCACATTCTCCCCGTGTCTGCATGGGTTTCCTCCAGGTGCTCTGGTTTCCTCTCACAGTCCAAAGGTGAGCAGGCTAGGTGGATTAGCCATGCTAAATTGCCCATAATGTTCACAGATGTGTAGATTAGGGGATGCTCTGAGGGTCGGTGTGGACTTGTTGGGCCGAAGGGCCTGTTTCCACATTGGAGGGATCCTATTCTATTCTAAAACAAGATATGATCCTGTGAGACACAGGAGTTATTGAGTCAATTGATCAAGAGTGGTTAGTTTTAAAGGAGTGTCTAAAGGGGGAAAAGTGAGATAGAGAGATGGGGAAATGCAGGGAGCAAATTCCAGAGCTTAGTGGAGTATAATTAAGGTCCTTTGTCAAAGTTCCATTACAGAAACTGCACTTCATACTGGTTAATGATCGTGACAATGGTCAATAACTCAAATTTTAATGCTCCCCTCAGGCAGGATGACAGCCTCGAGCACCATGCCAGCTTTGTCCTCACTGTCCAGCGAGGTGGAGAGGCTGGGAGAGAGCACCACCTGGTCAGGTACCCCCTGCTCATTAAAATCGTCTACCAAGATAGAAACTCTCTTCTGTGTTTCTCCCTCATTGACCTGTCACCACTCCCCTTGCTGGGCCATGCCAGCCTGTCCCAACAGGTCAATAAAGGAAAATAAAGAACTGCAGATGCTGGAGATTTGAAATAAAAACAAATTGCTGGAGAAAATCAGCAGACCTGGCAGCATCTTGGAGAGAAAGCAGAATTAATGTTTTGAGTCCAGTGACCCTGCTTCAGACCCTTCTGAAGAAGGACTTGAAAGATTAACTCTGTTTTCTCTCCACAGATGCTGCCAGACCTACAGAGTTTCTCCAGCACTTTCTATTTTTGTCCCAACAAGACCCCAGACTTAATTCAAAGACCAGCTCCATCACTGAATGCTGTCCTTGGGGACCATTGTCCATTCCTGCCAGGGCTGCTGAAACAAGTGAACAGTTGACAATGTGCTTGATTAGCTACTTTGAGGCAAGACTTCCTCTTGGAGAGGACTGGAAGGCCTGGTTTCATTTCAGACTCTTTCCAAATAACAAGAATTATCAATGTTCAAAGGTCTTTGATTGCTAATTACTATAATCTAATTATATTTGCTGCTTGCAATTTCATAGAATTCTTATAGCATAAGAGGAAGCCATTAGAGGTATTGTGTTCTATACTGGCCTTCTGAAGGTGCAACTCACCCAAGGGCTATGCCACAGCCTTCTCTCACAGCCCTGCACATTATTCCTTTTTAATTCTCTTTTAAGTCACAAGATTGAACCTGCCTTTACCATTCTTTCAGGCAGCCCATTCTAGATTCTCTTCATCTGTGCACTGAATGATTGGCTCTTTGTCCTGAGAATGTGCCCGTATGTTCTGAACTGCCCAGCTAGGGGAAATCAACCTCTGTGTTGACCCTGTCAAGTTACTTTGAAACCTTATTTGTTTCAATAAGATCACTTCTCTTCTAAGCTACAGAGCATGAAGAGTGCTTAGCTTCCTGTTGCAGTAACTAACACCCATTTAGCAAACACTTTTATTGATTAAAAACCAAAAGAACTGCAGATGCTGTAAATCAGGAACAAAAACAAAGTTGCTGGAAAAGCTCAGCAGGTCTGGCAGCATCTGTGGAGGAGAAAACAGAGTTAACGTTTTGGGTCTGGTGACCCTTCCTCAGAACCTTTTATTGATTGACAGATAACTGCCTCTGCAAGGATGCTTCTACTGGCTAAGTTTTTGAGCTGGCAGTTTTTGCCATTTTCAAAGTTTTAAATAAGAATCTGACAATTAATAGGAATTATAGCTTGAAAAAGAATAGCCAGAGATTTCCCCCGTGCAGATTCCCAAATTAGCACTCATTCCTCATCATATTCTGTGCTTTCTCAATTACACATTCCCATGCATTGATGTTGGCTTTCCCTTGGTTAATCATTCATATTCTGGATTGTTTCTTGTCCTTATTAATGTCCAGGGTTGACTCCTGCTGAGATGTGTGTTTTATGTACGTCTTTCCCCTGGTCTCACAGCTCCGGCAGTAATTTCAAAACCCGATTCCTTGGTTACCTTGTTATCACTATCCCCTAAAAGTTCCTGTACTGACATGTGGTCCACTTATACCTGGAAGCGTCAGTGCATCACTTCTCATTGAACATGGTGAGAAAATTCTCCTGAACACACTTTATGACACCTTGGCCCACTCTGTCCATTACACTGTTACTGTGCCAGTCGAAGTGCAGAAAAGTAAAGGCCCCTTTACAATTTCTTTATAATTTTTATCTATCTGTAATTTCCATTCAAATTTGTCTGACTGCTTGTGCAATAGACTACACTGAGCATTGTAATGACATCTTTTGTTTGATTCTTACTCTAAGCCAAATCAATTCTGAACTTAACCCCTCTTGGACATCCTTTCTCTCTGCTTTCACATTTGCTTCTGTTTCGTTTCACTTTTTTTAATGGACTTAATTTTGTATTTTATAGTCTTAGAACTAGAAATTTTATACATTCATGAACAACAGGGGCCAAGACAATACAAGGAGCCTGCTTGCATTTCCATTGAGATTCATCCCAACCCCCAGAATAACACAATATCAGATATTTGCTATTTTAGTTCCAGTCTACACCACCAGCCATGAGAGAATGAAAATGGGAAGAGCTGGAATCGGAACAGATCCCATGCCTTCCCCCATTTCACTGACACTTACCGCTGGTGCTTGGAAATTGAGTTGTAGCTTCTTTTTTGGACCAGGTTTGGGCTTTGGAGTCTTTCCTGCAACTCTGTCCTTATGCCGTCGACTGGATATATGCTAAAGACGGGGAAAAAATTCTTTGCTTTTCAGCAGTAAAACATCAAATCATAAAATCCATCTTTGCAAAAGCTGTGCTCTCTTCACTCACTGTTCCCCCAAATATCACCTGCCATATCTTTGCCCTTTCTGAAACACCATTTTCCAAACTCCCTCAAACACCTTCCCTCCAGGTACAGGCAATTGGACTTGGGGCAAGTCTGGATAGGAGTTGTGAAATAGGTGCAAGCAGTAATTGTGGGACAGATACAGGTACAAGTAGACCTCTTTGTGGCATATACAGGCAGCAGGGTGGGGCAGGCACCGAGGGACCTTTGGGGAAAACACAGATGGAGCATGTGAAGGAGGTATTGGTATGTAGTGTGGAGCAAATAAATGTGGCAAGAGTGGAGAAGATGCAAGCAATAAGGATGAGGACTGTACAGCAAGTGCAGACTGAGTTGGTGGGGAAAGTACCATTAGAGCAGATGGGGAAGGTAAAGGCACTAGGTCTAGGGAAGATACAGGAAATGGAGTGTGGGGGCAGGTACAGACAGTGAGTGTGGGACAGCACAAGAAGGATTAATTGGTCTCGTACAGGTAGATGCTGATGTCAAAGCTGGAGAGAAACTGGGGTTTTTATAACACGATCTCAGGATGTGCCAAAGAGCTTGACAACCAGTTAATTACATTTTCAATGAGTGCAGTCGCAGTTGTAGCACAGGAAATGTGGCAACAAACATTTGCACAGTAAGATTCCAGAACCCATATTGAGAGAGAGAGAGCTGATCATCCATTATTAGTGAAAACCGAAAGAACTGCAGATGCTGTAAATCAGGAACAAAAACAGAAGTTGCTGGAAAAGCTCAGCAGGTCTGGCAGCATCTGTGAAGGAAAAAACAGAGTTAACATTTCTTGTCCGGTGACGCTTCCTCGAACAGGACCAGAAACGTCAACTCTGTTTTTTCCTTCACAGATACTGCCAGACCTGCTGAGCTTTTCCAGCAACTTTGTTTTTGCATCCATTATTGGTATTGGTTGAGAGATAAATATCTTCCGGGCCTCCTGCCAGAATCATTTTGCTCCTCATCAAACAGGTTCCATTACATTTTTTACATTCCCTGAGAGAGCAGATGGCCCTTGGTTAACACCTCATTCAAAAGATTATACATTCAAAGGTAAAAGGGCAGTGAAATAAGGACTGGAGCTAATCAGGAGCCAACAAGTGAATTTACACTTGAAGGTTAGGCGTGTGGCGGATGTATTAATTGAATATTTTGTGAGAATTAGAAGTACAGATTCAGGCTCAACTGCTGCTGTGGAGTCTATGGACCACATGTATATTGGCTGCAGGCAGTTGAACCCTGTTTTTAGTTATCTCAGGAATTTGTTCAACAACAAATACAGAAGTTTCTGGGAAAGCTCAGCAGGTCTGGCAGCATCTGTGAAGGAAAAATTGGAGTTTATGTTTTGGGACTGATGACACTTCTCACCTGGCCCGAAATGTTAACTCTGATTTTTTTCTTCACAGATGCTGCCAGACCTGCTGGGCTTTTCCAGCAACTTCTGTTTTTTGTTCCTGATTTACAACATCCACAATTCTTTCAGTTATTATCAGGAATTTGTTGTTGTTCTTGTTTGCACTTCAGCCCCATACCCCAGACTTATTAGCAGCTGGTGCAGTGGGGCTGCAGATAAGTCAGAGGACCTCCTGCTGGCCCAGGCTAAGATAATCATCAACAGGTCTACGAAGCAGGCCACGAACAGGGTCATAAACCATGAATGCCTGCCTCTCCTCCACAGCTATATTCATGCTGGGTGTCATGACCTGCAGTGCACTATCACCCTCCAACACCATTTTGACATAGTTAATTCTCTTGTTTTTTCCTAACTGTTACATTGTTTGTAATTTGTTGTTTGTTTAATTAGATATCTGGGTGATTTGGTGCCTTAAGAAAAGGGACTAAGTTATCATAGAGTCATAGCGATGTATGGCACAGAAACAGACCCTTCGGTCCAATTCATCCACACCGATCAGATTCCTTGGATAAATCTGGTCCCATTTGCCAGCATTGGGCCCATATTCTTCTAAACCATTCCTATTCATATGCTCATCCAGATGCCTTTTAAATGTTGTAATTGTGCCAGCCTCCACCACTTCCTCTGGCAGCTCATTCCATACACGCACCACCCTCTGTGTAAAGAAGTTGCCTCTTAGGTCCCTTTTAAATCTTTCCCCTCTCATCTTATGCCTATGCCTATGCCCTCTAGTTTTGGACTCCCCCACCCCAGGGAAAAGACCTTGTCTACTTACCCTACCCATGCCTTTCATGATTTTAGAGACCTCTATAAGGTCACCCCTCAGTCTCCGACGCTCCAGGGAAAATAGCCTCAAGCTACACATCAACCATGATTCTGGAAAGAGTATCTGCTTACGTTTGAGACTTTGCTCAGACATAACTGACTCTTGTATGAAAATCTCATTCCCTCTTCGTTCTTCTTTTGCGTAGACCTCAGATCTGTGTATAGCAGTGAATTCTGGAATTGGAAGTCAATGCTGCGATTCACATTGGTGCCCTCATTGCCATGTGCTGAATCAAATGAACTGTTTAGAGGCAATGTTGCTTATAAGTCTGGGGTGAAAGTGTTGAAGTTTTGCTAAATTTTTTATCCAGCAAGGGGACCAAATGCTTATGAGTGGTCTCAATCATGACTTTGAGGTCTAGAATGTAATCAGAATATTTTTCACAGGCCTATCCAACTGCTCAAGCCTCTTTCCTGATTATGGAGTTAACGGGAGTCCTTATCCGATAAATGCTCTTGAAGCATAATATTGGGGTTTTCAATATCCTCTGGCTTTCCTGAAAAAGAACAATCCCAATGCCTGTGGCTAAGGCATCCACAGCAATAATCATGGCATATGATTGACAAGGACTAAGATATGGCCGGATGACAGCACGTTCTTAACTTTCTGTTGCTTTGCATCCCACTACGATGCTTATGACTTTGATATGAAAGTTCTCAAGTTTCCTGTAACAGGATCAGGGTATGTTTGATCAATTTGAATTTCTGTGAATCAGCTTTTATTTAGTCTTTGCTGATGATGTGACCTAGAAAACAAATGAAATCTCTAAAAAGTGCACATTTGTTATTCAGCTTGCTGCTTGTAAACATTTCAGGACATCATATAATCTCCTATCGTAGAGCTGGGTAGTTACAGCATGTATTAATATGTCATCCACATCACATTTGATCCGTTGAATTCTCATAGTGTGTTGCAAAATCTCTGGAGCAGAAGCAACACCAAAGAGTAATCTATTGAAACTATATTGATAAAAAGAAGTAATGAAGATAGTGAGGATTCGAAATGCTGTGTGTAAAAGAAGCAGCGAAAACCTGCTATTGGTATCTAGCTTTGTAAATATCATACTGGTGGAAACCTTAGTAAAATTTGCATCACCTGATGACAGAGGATGGTTTTTATCTCGTAACTTTTTCTTTGAGGTGTGAGAGATTGGCACAAATTCATATGGAACCATATGATTGTATTTGGGAATGGTGACCATACGCCAGCACCATTCCATAGGTTTTAGTAACTGAGGAGACAATGTTTTGTTTGATAATGTCCTTCAATTGTTTCTTTACTTTTTCAGTTAGTGGATGAGGGATTTTACTGCGTGTAAAGAGACATACTTGTTTGGTATCAGCTTTCAAAGTGGTTTAATAAGGACTTTCCAGCTTTCCCAGTCCAGTAAATAGTTTGGGATTGTGGTGCTGAAAGACACTTTTTGCAGTATGGGAGAATTCCTAGACTCTGTGCTCATGGTTGAGGGAAAAACATGCCTTCTCACCCAATAAAGAAGATCACAAAGGCTACTGACCAGCCAGTGATACCCACACCTCATGCATGAATAAAAAAAAGTTAGTCATTGGTGATGTATGCTTTCTCCACATAAATATGCTCTTTGAATGTCAGTACAACATCCCTTTAAGTGTATGTATAGAACCTCCAGCTGCAAATAGCTTTAAATAGGTCATAAACTGTTCATGTCCACTAATCATGGGGTGTCATCCAAGATCAACTTAATACCGACACCAGTATCTCGCCTAAATTTGGTTGCATAACCATTTCTATAGATGACTTCTGTCAACTCTACATCAGGTGACTGTTTAATTTTTCCGATGGAAGAGTAATAAAGTTTCTAGGAGCATTATCTGTCCTTCCAACACTACTTTGATTTGTTCCTTCCCTTCTTGCCCCTCCATCCCACTTTTTTAAAATTATTTTTGTTATTGTTGCACTGCCCCTGGTGAGCAGTGTTGGATGTTTGTTGATTCTGTGATTTTCTTAAAAACAGCTGAGTTCTTTCGTATGACCACCCCATGGCCTGCTCCTCAGCATATCTGAAGTAGTCATCAAATGGTCTGGGCAGCAGGTCATGGAAGGGATGGTAATTCCTGACTGCCTGCCTCTCCTTCATGGCTATGCTCGTGCCTGGGTATTTTTAGCAAGAAAGCACATGATGCCCACCAGTAGCCTTAAAGCTGTTACAGAGAGAGAAGTGTAGTATTTTTTCCTGATAACATGATTTGGATTGAGTCCACTCTCTTGTCTTTCTCTTTTATGTTTTGGTTTTTGTTGCATTCCCAATGGTGGCCATTTGGATGTTTGGTTTAATTTATGGTTTTTTTTTAAATAAGGCTGATATCCTCCTCAAGTTGAATGTTGCCTTCTGAAGACAGAACAGTTCCAGGAGGAAAACGTGAAAACAGATGTATGTATTATACTGTAGGTTTGTAACAAAGTATTTGTAAATCTTTGAAAGTCTTTTGCTGCCTAATTTAACACACAATATGTGGAGCATAAGTTTGTATCTGTCTTAACCACTTGCCCTCGCGATGCAATAGTCTACCCAAGTCATGAGCACTGTGATCACCCGTACTTCAGACTGTGTGGCTTCCTCCGTGAGACGTTTGTGATTATCACGTGGAGCTATAGCCAGCAGCGCACAGATATGAGATTGAGGCTGCGTTCAGACCTTTTAGGGTTAGGATTTATACACATTTGGAAAAGTATAGGCTAATTAGGGACAGTCAGAATAGCTTTGTGCAGGGTAGGTCATGTCTTACCAATTTGATTGAATTTTTCAAGGAGGTGACGAAGTTGATTGAGGGTAGAGCAGTGGATGTTACCTATATGAATTTTAGTAAGGCTTTTGACAAGGTCTTTCATGCTAGGCTCATCAAGAAGATTAAGATGCATAAGATCCATGGTGAATTGGCTGCATAGATTCAGAGCTGGCTTGCCCATAGAAGGCAGAGGGTAGTGGTGGAACGTTGTTTTTCAGGCTGGAGGTCTGCATTTAGTGGTGTTCTGCAGGGATCTGTACTGGGACCTCTGCTGTTTGTGATATATATAAAAAGGACTTGGATGAAAATGCAGATGGGTGGGTTAATATGTTTGCAGACAATATAAAGATTGGTGGACTTGTGGATAGTGTAGAAGGTTGTAAAAAGTCACAGTGGGATACAGATCAGTTGCAGATATGGGTGGAGAAATGGCAGATGTAGTTTAATCTGGGTAAGTGTGAGGTGCTGCACTTTGAGAGATCAAATGTTAGGTATTCAGTTAATGGTAGGGCCCTGAACAGCATTGATGTACACAGGGATCTTGGGATTCAAGTCTATAGTTCCATGAAAGTGGCCACAAAAGTAGATAGGGTGGTGAAGAAGGCTTATGATATGCTTGCCTTTATTGGTCAGGGAATTGAGTACAAGAGTCAGAATGGCATGTTGCAGCTTTATAAGACTTTGGTTAGGCTAAACTTAGAGTATTGTGTTCCATTCTGGTCACCACATTATAGGAAGGATGTGGAGGCTTTGGAGAGGGTGCAGAAGAGGTTTAACAGGATGCTGCCTGGATTAGAGGGAATGAACTATAAGGAGAGGCTAGAAAAACTCTGGAGCAGTGGTGGGCAAGGAGAGACTTGATAGAAGTTAATAAAATTATGACATGCATAGATAAAGTTGACAGTCAGAAACATTTTCCTAGAGTTGAAATATCTATAACTAGGGGTATGCATTAAAGGTGAGAGGGGAAAAGTTCAAGGGAGATGTGAGGGACAGGTTTCTTTTACTGAGTGGTAGGAGTCTGGAACGCACTGCTAGGGGTGGTGGTGGTGGTAGAGACAGGTACAATAGGGGCATTTAAAAGATTTTAGATAAACACATGAATATGCAAGAAATGGAGGGATATGGACCAAGGGTTGGCAGAAGGGGTTAGTTTAGTGTGGCATCATGTTCGGCACAACATCATGGGCAAAAGGGCCCATTCCTGTGTTGTACAATTCTATGTTCTAAACTCCATTACCTTGTCTCTGAGCTGGAATCTGGTGGCAGGGAGAATAAGGAGGGAGTCACAACCAGTTCATGGTCACTCTCAAGAAAGCAGGTAGGGTCAAATTATCCTCATGGTTGTGGATGAGCAGCTGCTGTTGTCCAAAGGCACTTGCTTATGGACTTAATAACTTTCTTTTCTCTACTCCTCTAACATCTACACAAATGTCTCTGGTTGCCTTGAACGTATGAGTGCCTCTCGTCATTAGGCAGGGTTATCTTTCAACCAGGTTCACGGCCTTGGGTGACCTGGAGCAGGACAGCAAAGTACGGAGGCCTCAGGGTTAACAGCCTGTCTCCCAGCAAAGCTGCATGGGGTAGTGAGGCTGAATGGGGGACCAGTTAGCACCAGATAAGATGAATAAATCACATTGAACACCTATGAGTTCACATTGGTGAATTTTGTGATTTTTGATTGACTCTATTTTCAGCATTGAAAATTCTGAGTGGACTGGACACAGTAATTGAGGAGGAACTGTTCCATTGGTGCAATGATCAAGAACAAGAGAGCACAGAGATTTAAGATAATCAGCAAATGTAGCAATGGTGACATCTTCTTACGGGCAAATATTAATGGTCAATATGTGCCGGCCTAGCCAGTAATGCTTTTTCACACAGTGAGCGGTTAAGGTCTGGGGATGCACTGTCTGAGATTGTGATGAAATCAGGTTCAAACAAGGGAATCAGAATGTCATGTGAAAAGGTTGAACATACACAGCTATGGGGAGAAGGCAAGGGACCGACACTAGATGAACTGGCCATTTGCAGGTCCAGCACAGATACATTGGACTGAACAGCCTCTTTCTGTGCTGTAACTATTCTAACATCCTGTGATTACAGCTCTTAGTATGAGGCCTCCCTAAGTACAACAGTGGGAGAGTCAACATGCGTGAAGTCTCTGGAATAAGAATTGACACAGCCATGTTATGACTTACGAGTGAATAAAGCTGACAATGAGTGAGGACAGGGCTTTTAGAGAGGAGTATGACATCCTGACTATCTCCACTTAGATGTGCTTGAGGAATTGCTGGAGATTCTCCGAAAGTATCCCTTCTCTCTGATTTCTGAAGAAAAGTCCAGGAATCAAAAAGTTGACACTGCTTTCTCTCCACAGATGCTGCCATACCTGCTGAGTTTCTCCAGCAATTTCTGTTTCTGTTTCAGAATCCCCTCCTGTGTTGGGAGCAATGAATGGTGGGAATAAAAGGTTATTTTACAGATGTATCAGTTGCCATAGTAACAGAAGTCAGTGAAAAGAAGAAATGCTTGTTGAACTATATAAGATTATGAAGAAAGGGGGTCAATATGAAGACATTAGTCAGTCAGTCACTATTACTCTGTCAGACCAAATGTCACTTGAAAGAAGTGACTGGTTAGGATGTAACTGGTTGATAAATTAGGCACAACATTTGGGTGGTTTATTGATTAGATTTTCACCTGAACTTGCCCCTACCTGGTATTAGACACTATTATATTTGACATTTTAGTTTTAAGAAACCTTGAATACCACAATCTTCTTTAGAGTGGGTGGTTTCCCCTCCACTATTGATGAGCTCTCACTTTCTGCATGTCTAGGCCCAGGCAAGAGGCACAAGCCTGGTGATGTTTAAATCAATCTGGGGCTGCTTCCAACTGATCAATCTCTACTCCACCTCCAAGCCTCTCCCATTACACTTGTGTCTAGTCCTTGAAAGCCCCATATCTGATCAGAACCGAAAGAACTATGGATACTGTAAATCAGAATCAAAAACAGAAATTGCCGGAAAAGCTCAGCAGGTCTGGCAGCATCTGCGGAAAGAAATCAGGGTTAACATTTTGGGTCGAGTGACCCTTCCTCAGAACACAGTTCCCAAAATGTTAAATCTGATTTCTCTCCACAGATGCTGCTAGACCTGCTGAGATTTTCCAGCAATTTCTGTTTTTGTTCCATATCTAATCAGACTCAGTTTTGGAATGAGGATAAATCAGATCAATTTGCACCTGCTTCAGTTGCATTTCCGAGTTAACACAAACGCCACATAATTGACAGTGGAAAATCCTATCCTGTAATCCAGAACAGCGCCTTGTTTGACCGTGGGGTTTGAAATGTGGCTTTGGATAAACCTTTATAGGACCCAAACCTTTCTGAGCTGCCATCATGGTCTTGTGCTTAGTGCCTAAAACAAAGAGAGAACGTATTTATTCTTCAAAACATCATCCATTCAAACCATCATTCCTTTTCTGGATAGCTGCTGATTCATAGAATTCCCAGAGTGTGGGAACAGGCCATTTGGCCCAACAAATCCATACGGACCCTCCATCAAGCGCATTCCCCTTCTCTATAACCCTGCATTTCCCGTGGCCAACATACCTAACCTACATATCCCTGAACACTATGGGCAACTTAGCATGACCAATTCACCTGACTTGCCTTGCATAGTCCAAAGATGTGCAACCGGAGCACTCAGTGGAAACCCACCCATAGGGAGAACACGCAAACTCCACACAGACAGTTGCCCGAGGTTGGATTCAAACCCGGATCCCTGGCGCTACGAGGCAGCAGTGCTAACTACTGAGCCACTATGCCAGTCTTATTCACCAATACTTGCCAATCATGTGTTTATTCCCAAGGTGTTTCATTATGGAATTATCATAGCTAAACAATTACCCAGAGTGAGAGATGAGGGGTAGAATTTTGGGGAATTTATACTGAGGCTGACCCCATTGCCCAAGCAAATCTTGCTGTTAATTTGAGAACATCACAGAGCATTATTTGCTGAAGGAAATTTGCAGCAACTTTTAATGTTTGAACACAGAACCATAGGAGATGGAGAGACATTTCTGAAAGGAAGCTGTCACTCACCACTGTTGTGAGCATGCAGTTGGGATAGTGAATTCAGGCCTACTTTGCAGAGTGAACAGTATTGCAGTTTCATTGCTGTCTCCTTGTCAGACTCCTTGCTAACCATTCCAGTTTCAGCTAGTGTCACTCTCTCCACGCCAGAAGCTCCTGTCGTCATGGTTCCGGTAGCCAACGTACTGTCAGTTGATGCACTGAGGATGGTTGATGGTTGAAGGTCAGGAGTGAGCAATGGGGAAATGGGCCAGAGAGTTTCTGAGGAAACTGCAGTAGGGACAATCTTTATACGAGCTTCTGTTGAAAAAAGAGCAACATACTAAACATGAAATAGGTCTGTGTTGTTAAGCTCAGTCTCCCCTTGGCTATGTTTCATTGAACCAGCCATTGACTCCATGCTGGCTGTGTCAAGCAGTCTAGTCAGTCTCACTCACCCACTTGATCCACACAGTTTACCCACCTCCGGGTACCCTGTATCCAATTTCAAAACAAAAACAAAGTAGCTGGAAAAGCTCAGCAGGTCTGGCAGCATCTGTGAAGGAGAAAACAGAGTTAACGTTTCGGGTCCGGTGACCCTTCCTCAGAACTGATGGTGGCTGGGAAAACGTCAGTTTATATGCAGAAAATAGGGAGGTGGGTGGGGTAGGGAGTAAATGATAGGATAGAGCCCAAAGAGAGAGAAAGACAGTTGGACAGACAAAGGAGTTGCTAACGATCAGGCTGGGAGGGTGAATCGTTGTTAATGGGGACTGTTAGTGACTAACAACAGGGGGTGTGCAGTGGCAGGCTATGTGGTAACAAGGCCTGGTGTGTGGGGTGGGGGGGCTGGGACATGGAAGATTTTAGGCCATAAAGTTATTGAACTCAATATTGAGTCCGGAGGGCTGTAGGGTCCCCAAGTGGAAAATGAGGTGTTGTTCCTCCAGCTTGTGCTGGGCTTCACTGGAACACTGTAGCAAGCCGGAGACAGATGTTGGCCAGGGAGCAAGGTGGTGCATTGAAGTGGCAGGCAACAGGTAGTTCAGAGTCTTTTTTGCGAGCAGAACATAGATGTTCTGCGAAACAGTCACCAAGTCTACACTTCGTTTCCCCAATGTAGAGGAGACCACAATGTGAGCAGCGAATGCAGTAGCCTAGATTCTTGGAAGTGCAGGTGAAGTGTTGCTTCACCTGGAAGGAATGTTTGGGCCCTTGGATACTGGGGAGGGAGGAAGTAAATGCGCAAGTGTTGCACCTTCGCCGGTTACAGGGGAAGGTGCCGTAGGGCTGTGGGGAGGTGTTGGGGGTGAAGGAAGTATGGACCAGGGTGTCCCAGAGCAAACAGTCCCTGCGGAAGGTGGACAAGGGAGGGGAGGGGAATATGTGTCTGGTGGTGGCATCTTTCTGGAGGTGACAGAAATGGCGTCTGATGATCTTCCGGATGTGGATGCTGGTGGGATGGTAGTTGAGGATAAGGGGAACCCTATCGCTGTTGCGGGATGGAAGAGAAGGGGTGAGGGCAGAAGTGCAGGAGATGGGTCGGACCCGATTGAGGGCCCTGTCGACAACGGAGCTGGGGAATCCTTGGTTGAGGAAGAATGTGGACATTTTGGAGGCTCCTTTGTCAAAGTTGGCCTCATCTGAACATATGCAACGGAGACGGAGGAACTGAGAAAATGGGATGGAGTCTTTACAGGAAGTGGGGTGTGAGGATGTATAGTCCAGGTAGCTGTGGGAGTTGGTGGGTTTGTAATGGATAATTTCCTTTGAAATCATTAAGTGTCTCCATTCCTATCTGCCTCATGGGCAACTAGTTCCAGGTCATTGCCACTTGCAGTGTGAAATGGATCTTCCTCACATTCCACCCACAGCTTTTGTCAAAAAAAAAGTTGTTTTGGGTTTGGGTCCAGAAACCTCCATCCTGGATCCCTACCTACCACTGCCGAGCCCTCTCACTAAAAGAAAGTATTTATTGTCAAATCTCTCCTCAGCGATCTTCTTCTGTCCAAGGAAAACAGTATTAGACTGAGTCAACATGCATGAATAAAAGATCTAATCACACAATAAGGAGCCAGCGGATGTGTTTTACTTAGACTTTCAGAAAGTTTTTCCATTAAGCCCCACATAAGTGATGAGCATGTAAAATGAAAGCACGTGAGTTTGAAGGTAGTGTACTCACATGGACGGAAAACTAGTTGGCAGACAGGAAACAATGAATAGAAATAAATGGGTATTTTTCTCAGAGGCAGCTAGATTCTAGTGGGGTGCCACAGAGATCGACGCTTGGACACCAGCTATTGTTGTACCTTTTTTATTTACATGTGAACAGTACATAGACTCTGACCAGTTACCGGAGAGCCAGTCCCTAGACTGAGGAGTATCTCTGAGACTCCCGTTTATAATCTATCAGCGAACGCTCCCTGATTGGCCAATCAGGGATCTCATTAACAATGAGACCCACCTGGCCCTCATTCCAATCACTGCATCCTTCCCCACACCAACCCCCCCACCCCCCACCAACGACCCCCCACCCCCACCCCCCTTAAGTCTGGGGATGTGTGTGTGTTTTTTTTCTGTGTGTAGCTTCTCCTGGGATGTTTTCACACCAGGTCCAGTTCCTTCAACTTTGACTTGGGTACAGGCAGCATGTATTGGACCATAGCCTGCCTCTTGGGCCTGGAACATCTCGGATGAAATTCCTCTTCCTCTTCAGGCAGTAACAGTACTGACGCTGAGACATCAGCTGCATCTATCTTGGACTCCAAGGTTTCTTCAATGTTAGATGAAGGGGGAAAGCCCTCCTGACAGCCTTTCTTGCTATTCTGAGGGGCCAGGCATGTTTTATCCTGCCCTGTTTGTGAGGTAGCAGCTTTCATGTGACCCACATGTTTATTTAGGACCCCCTCACCTACCCAAACTTTGTGTGTCATGGGACCTGATCTCGCCTCTTACCTATACAGGGCCATTTCTGTGATTTCAACACCAAACTTTTTCCCCTGAAGTAAACTGTCTCTCGCACTTAGAGCTGGCATGTGGCTAATATTGGCATTCCTGATGCTGTTTCACCTTCTGTCCCGGGTCCAGGAATATCAGGTTTGACCTGGTGAGTCGTCTTCTTGCCATCAGCAACTCTGCTGGAGCTATTCTTGTAGTTGTGTGGTGGGTGGTTCTATAATCAAACCGGAACGAGGACTGTTTGGTATCAAGTGAAGCTGTTGGCTGTCTCTTTAAGCCTTCTCTTTTCACCATACCACTGGATGATGAATGGTATGGAGCTGTCCAAACATACCGAATGCAACTTGACTTTAGGAAGTACCCGAAATCTCTGCTGGTAAATGACATCCCATTATCCGTGACTAATACTTCCAGGAATCTGTGTATTGCAAGTGATGCTCGCAGCTTTTCAGTTGTCATCCAAGGTTGCCGAACGAACTCTATGCACGTCCAACCACTTTGAATAGGCTTGCACAATGATCAAGAACATTGAGCCAATGAAAGGGCCAGCATAATCAACGTATAACTAAGTACAGGGTTTACCCAGCCATTCCAATGAATATGGATGAGCTGCTGGCAATAATTTCTGTTCTTGTTGGCACTCTGGGTGCTGCCCCACCATTGTGGCTACATCGACATCCAATTGGCCACCAGACATAACTTCTTGACAATATCTTCATTTTGGAAACCCCCAGCTGACCCTGGAGGAGTTCAGCCAGTATCGGGCAGTGACCTTTACTCCAGGCAATCACTCTTGCTCTCCATAATAATGTGTCTTCCTCTACAGTGATCTGGTCTTGCCAGGTCCAGAAAGGTTTCAGTTCTGGTTGTGTTTCTCCCATCACCGCCCACTTTTTCAGTTTTGCCAGGCCAGGATCTTTTTGTGTCCACAGATCGATATTGTCAGCGGTGACTGTAAGGGTGTCCAGGTTTAAATCCAGAATGGAGTCTTCCAGGAGAGGCACCATTGGTGGTTTATCCCCTAGTGGGAGGCCACTCAAGGCATCCGTATTTGCGACCTGCCCTCTCAGAAGGTGTTCCAACTTGTAGTTGTATGCACTGAGAATAAGAGCCCACTATTGAATTTGACCAGAAGCTATGGGCAGCACCACTTTGTCATCTTTAAGTTGTTGTAGCAGGGGGTTGTGGTCCATTACTGTTACGAATTTACATTTATAAAAGTGTGGTGGAACTTTCACACACCAAAGATGACTGCCAAACCTTCCTTCTTTATCTGGGTGTATTTACATTCAGCATCAGTCAAAGTCTGGGAAGCATGCACTATCGGACCATCCTCTCCGTTGGGCCACCGCTGCTCCAATGCTACCCCTATATCGTACAGGGAGACATCGCAAGTCAGCATCTTATCTCACTTGGGGTCATAGTAGGCAAAACCTTAGATGATGATAGTTGCTTTTTTACTTCCCTGAAGGCTTCTTCTTGGCTATTTGACCATTTCCAAGGCTGACCCTTTTTCAATAGAGGGTGTAAGGGTGCCAAATGGAGGCTGGGTTACTTATGAATTTTCCTTAATATTTCATCAGCCCAAGAAAAGACCTAAGCTCTGGTACAGACGTGGGACCCAGAGCATCTGTGATCACCCTCACTTTATCTTCCAAGAGACGTGATCTGTTCTTGTCAACTCTCTAGCTCAGATAAATCACTTGTGTGTCTGGAACACACATTGTTCCCTTCTAAGGCATATTTCCATGCTTAGGAAAGAAACCTAACAGCTATGTTCAAGTTTTCCAAGTGGTCTTTATTGGTATCCCAAATTATTAGCATTTCATTCAAACAAATGGCAACCTGCGGTGGACCTTTGTAAAATGTTCTACATCGTCCACTGGAAAACAGCGCAGGCTGATGATACCCCACATTGCAACCTTGTTTATTGGTGCAAACCCTTAAGGGCATTATTTGGGGCATTCCTCTGAGACTCTTCATCTAGTTGCAATTGCAGGTATGCATAGTGAATGTCCAGTTTTGTGAAGGACAGCACACTCCTGACGGTTTTGCGTACGAGTCCTCTATGCGAGGGATTGGGTATTTATCCAGCTGTGAGTAGTGGTTTACCATTTGCTTAAAATCCCTACAAAGGTGAACCAACCCATCAGGCCTCACAATCGGTATGACGGTGCTGCCCATTCTGCAAACAGTAATGGTTTGATGGTTCCTTCGCTTTCTAGCCTCCTGATTTCTGCCTCAACTTTTGCACGTAAGGAAAATGGCACTAGGTGGCCCTTATGTCAATACGTAAAGTGGCTTTATCTCCTTTGATAGTCCGTATACCTTCCTGAAAAACTTCTGAGTCCTTAATTAGGACT